TTAAAAGCCTTAACAGTACATTTAAACTGGGAATTAGACCGGCTTGATGTTAAGACGGCCTTCTTAAATGATGATCTAGAAGAAACCATTTATATGAATCAGCCATTGGGTTTTGAAATGAACAGAAAATCTGACTAGGTTTGCTTGTTAAAAAAGTCACTCTATGGTTTTAAACAGGCACCCAGGCAATGGTATAAGAAATTTTACTCTTATGTTCAAAATCTGGGATTTAATAAAAGTAATTTTGACTCTTGTTTTTTCTTCAAAGGGTCAGGAGGACCTGATTCTCTTTATCTTCTTCTATATGTTGATGATATGATTGTTGCCTGTCATGACAGATCTGAAATTGATTTTGTTAAAGAAAAACTCAAAATTGAATTCGAAATAAAAGATTTAGGACAAGCAAAAAGAATTTTAGGAATGGAGATTAAAAGAGATAGAAAAAACTGCATTTTGTATGTATATCAAAATTCTTATATTAATAAGATACTTGGAAAATTTGCTATTATTGAATGTAAACCTATGACTTTACCCAAAAACTGATGAAGAGTATGATAGAATGAGTAAAATACCTTATGCTAATGCTGTTAGTTCAATTATGTACCTTATGATATGTACTAGACCTGATTTAGCTCATGGAATAAGCATTCTTAGTAGATTTATGGCCAATCCAGGTGAAACACATTGGTTAGCAATTAAGTGGATGATTAGATATCTAAAAGGATCAACAGAACTGGGATTTAAATTTCCAAGATGTAATGAAGGTGTTATTCTAAAGGGCTATACGGATTCTGACTTTGCAGGTGATTTAGATAAAAAAAAAAAAAAAAAAAAAAAAAAAAGAAAAAATTTTTTTTTTTTTTTATCTAAATCAGATATATATATATATATCTGATTTAGATAAAAAAAAAAAAAAAAAAAAAAAAAAAAAGGATCAACTTCTTCTTATGTATTTACTCTATGTGATGATTGTATTAGCTGGAAGTCACAATACAAAAACTGGTAGCATTATCTTCTACATAAACTGAGTATATAGCAGCATGTGATGATGTTAAAGAAGGAATATGGTTAAGGGGCTTGTTGGGTGAAATTGGTTTGTGAATGAGGTTGTTAGAATCTATACAGACAACCAAAGTGCAATTCATTTGAGCAGAAATCCTATATACCATGATCGGATTACGCATGTTGGCATTTAAATTTCATTTTGTTAGAAATATGATTGAAAAAGGCCATATTAATTTGGTTAAAATCTCAACTGAATTTAATCCTTCTGATATTGGTACTAAGGTACTGCCCTTAAATAAGTCCAGGAACTGTTTAAAAATTCTGAACATCTTTTGAAGGTAATGGATACAATTTCGGTCTTTTCTTTTGTATTGTCTTTGAATATAAACTAACTGTTTTTTTTTCCCTTACACGTTGTGTAGAGCAAATGAAACAAGTGTTTTGGTTTTTAAATCCACAAAAGAATTTCAAGAATAGATCGGCAAGGTGGAGATTGTTGTGGACTGTCTCTCTATTTTTTATTGGGCTGAATTCATTTGAACTTTGGACTATTTGTTGGGCCACCGGGTCTTAGACTTAAGTAAAAGCGTGTTTCTGAAAAATGCACTTATTCTCTAAAATGTGAGATTAATTGTTGTCCCTTCATCTAGCTCAATTTGGACCGTTGGATCTAGACGTTTTAACTGGATTATAAAGTCCTCCCTTGCCTTTTTTTGATGAGATACAGTCTTATTCTCTTTTAGGGTTTTCTCTTCGTCTCCTTCTTCTTGAGGGTTCTTACTGCTTCGTGATTTTTGAGTCTAATCTCTGTAAATTTCATAGTGATGATTGAGTTGTATTTTGTGTATAGTATAGGAGATTGTGAGAAGAGCAATTTCTTCTAAAAGGGAGGTGAAAGAAAGCATAAGTGAATGAACTCCGTTTCTTCATACATTTGTATCGATTTTTTGTGATTCTTAGTGGATTTTGAGCCAAATTTACTTTGTAGATGTTCAATGGGTGAGTAGGCTTCGACTGAACATCAGGCCCCTAAGGGGCGAAAATTCTTGGTGTTATTTCTTTTTGCAATTTTTCAGTTTTTAAACAAATTTAATTTGTGTATTATCGATCTTGAGACCAACAACAACCCAATATATATTTTGTGCACCAGCAGTACCACTGGGGCTGAAACTCATTTACGAAGTTCATATCCAGTGCTACGACGATAAAAAGTTGTCGAAATTATTTCCAGAAATTTTAAGTTCACTTTTTGAACGGGAAGCACTTGCAAAAGATACCATTCTCCACTGATTTCGGGAACCAACTCAACTTATTATTATTTTTTCGTGGTTCTTGAGTTAAACCACTTTTAATTTATATCTAGTACAATAAAACTTCAAATTCAAAGTAATTACAATTTATAAATCAGGATTTTTATTTTAAACGTTTCTTATATACCCAACTAAATTCTACTAGTTTTACCAGTGTTTGCTGGCGAACAAACCTTTTTTTTCCCAGAAATTCTACTCAGAAACACTGTGTTATTCATTACACAAAGAATTTATTTGTCGTTTTTATAAATTAAAAAAGAAGATATTTTCGACTTTTTGCACAAACCACAATATAGTTTTCGGCATTTCCCTTCATCGATAGATATCACTGCTGCATCTTCTGACCACATGTTTATTTTTTATTTTATTTTTTTAAGAAAAAGGGTAATAACAATAAAAAGTCTAATCTCCGGCTATCATGTGTAGTTGCAACTCAATCTTGGCATCAAAATAATTTTTTAATCCATTGACAGACCATTTTTTTCTTACTTTAGTGGTTTGAACGTGGTAGTTAGGCAAATCTTGTCAACTCTAAATAAACAAATTTAACTTTTAATTTTTGATATCGAAATTTGGATCACTCGAACTCATTTTCTTTTTAAACGTACTGTACGCAAACCAATACGTTAATTTGTTTCTTATTTCTTGTATGATTAATTTGGATAATTATGCTCAGTGATGATTAAATATGAAAATAACAATGATAATTAAAAGATTTCAATACTATTATTAGCAAGGTTGAATTCAATAACAAGATTGGTTTTTTAAGCAAGCAATATTGAATTTTGAGCTACTCTTCTTAACGATTTCCATCTTTAAGCTGGAATTCCAGGAATAATTTTTTAGTAATAAATAAGTGAAATTCTGAACATCTATATCTTGATAGCCAACATTATGCAATGATCTACCACTTCACTCGTCAATAAACTATTTTATTTAATCGTGATAACTTTTAATTCATTGGTATGAGTGCCTAATAAATAAAGAAAAGACAAAGGCTTTTCGAAACAACACTTATGAAGTGTTTGATTACTATTTTTTTTCCATAGAAAATATTTTCCAACTTTTGAAAATATGCCTAATTTTCCTTGTTTTTAAGGAAAACATTTTTCTTGGGTAGATGTGGTTTTTATTTTCCACAAAAGATGGAAAATATTTTCTTTTATAGGTGATATTTTTCATCTCAATCAAACACACTCTTAATAATTATTGTTCTACGTTTTCAGAAACCACAAAATAGTTATGAGCATTTTGCTTCATCTAAAAACATAATTGGTGCATCCTATGGACAAATTCTTGGTATCAAAGTAAACTTTTAATCAATTGGAAGATTAAATTCTTCTTACTTTAGTGGTATAATTGCACATGGGAGCTGAGTTGGGCAAATCTTGTCGACTTTAATAATTAAATTAAACTTTTTATGCTATCGGATATGGATCACTCGATCTCATGTGCTTTTTGGTATTGCACGCAAAGACAGTACGTTAGCTCGCTTCTTATTTTTATATGATTAATTTGGATAATTATGCTTAGTTCTGATTTGCCTACCCGCCAGGTTATTGAAAATATGATTACAGAGTAATTAAAACCAACTCTATGATTAACTAATTGATTATTAATTAAGAAGTTACGAATTAGTCCATTGATTTCAATTAGCTAGATTATATTGCATTTAAACCTAATATTTACATTATACTACTTATATTAAAATTAGGGAAGTACTACATGTACATAGTTGTCTACATAATGGTGTCCATAATTACACGTGACACTGGATCCAACCTTTAATTCAAATCTCACACTGGCACATCAACAATCGAATGATTGCCACATCACATTATGGACACAATTATGTGCAATAATTATGTATAAGTAGAATTTAAAATTAAGTGAAAGCTTAAAGCTTTTAGAACGTTTTGTGTCCATTTTTAAGGAAAACATCGAGATGCAAGAGTTTATGATCAGTTTAATTGTGTTATTACAATAAAATTAGAGGTCTTTTGGAATTGAAAATAATCTATTTTCAGTGTCCATTTTAAGTAAAAGAAATACAAATTTCTAAAATAAAGTGAAATTGTATTAATTCTCACAGCACGCTCTCATGATTTAACGTATTTTAATGCTTAAATATCAATTATGACTACATGATCTGTTTGACTCTAATTGTATTGACAGAAGCAGATGCTTGGAACTTACTTCAGTCAAAAATAGAAACTCTTCAATTAAGTAGCTCTCACTTACTGAATCACATATAATATAATTATATCAAGAAAATAATAACTGTTTGCGTAACATAAAATCTTTTATGATGGAACCTTAAAACTCAATATGACTTTGAACAGGCAATTTTTTATTGGACTAATCAAACAAGTTGTCAATTTTAATATTGATTATCTTAAACGAGCTGTAAGATTCATATTTTAAGATACAACCCTCTACCCTTAATATTTACTAATAAGTAACAAATAAGTCAGATTTTGAAGATATATATCTTAATAATGAACAAATACTACATTTGTCGAGAAACAATTTAAATGCAATCATTTTTTAATTCTAATTATTTCAGTTGTAAGTATTCAATAAATAATGTATAGTGAGTCGTGTAGGAACGTGACTAAAAAATGTTATTTTTAAATAATATACAAATCATCAACTTGTTTGACACTTTTAGCCAGATCTCTTTTTGATGCCTTCACCCTTAATTCTTCCTTGTCCATTCTTTCTTTAGCTTCATGAGGCTCAAATCCATGGAGTTTTCCTTTCGAAATAATAAAGAAAGTATTGTAAACACAAAGAATATTTCTATACTATTAATAGCCATAACATTAATTCTCCTAACTGTTGTTCATCTAAATTATCCATTTTTGATGTACTCTTCAAAGAATCCTGCAGAAATTGATGAATCCGTAAAGATTAAGGATCAAGATTATGAAAAGTGTGACATTTCTACGGGTGAATGGGTTCCGAATCCCGAGGCGCCATACTACACGAATATGACTTGTTCGTCAATCCATGAGCACCAGAACTGCATGAAATATGGAAGGCCAGATAGAGATTTCATGAAATGGAAGTGGAAACCAGATGGATGTGATTTGCCTGTTTTCAATCCTTATCAATTTCTGGATATTGTGAGGGGCAAATCCATGGCCTTTATTGGAGACTCTGTGGGGAGGAACCAATTGCAGTCCTTGATATGCCTCTTATCCAGGGTAATTATATATGTATAATATTTCATTTTTCACAAGTAATTAGATACCCTGGTATGTTGCAATGCATGATTTGTTCAAGACGATTTAAGCATTACACATTTTTCTTCCTTTTTGTTTTTTGGGTGTGGGTTGCCTGATTAGAGGTAAGGGTATTAAATGGGGTGAGCTGACCAACTCGGATTGTCTGCCATCAGGTTCGACTCAGCTCACCCCTGGTTAGGGTGAGCCGAGATGGCTCGCCAATTTTTTTAGCTTAAATTATTATTTCACCCATTATGACAAGTCAACTCGTAGCTTGTGAGCCAACTCGCACAAACAATTCGATGAGCTCATGAGTTAACTCATGCGAGCCGACGAATGAGTTGCAAGAAGATTTCAGTGTTCAGCTCGCCCCTTAACACTGCTAGTTGGGGGACTATAGATTGAAGTGATTAACTAGTAGATAGTTGTTTGCTTAGAAGTTACTCCTGTTGCTTGTTAATTGAACTTCATCTAAAGCTAATTTTACATTATATACTAGGATATAATTGGTATCATATGAATTATTACTACTATTCACTACATATAGCATGATGAAAATGTTAATCTTCTTGATTAAGTTTTTTCTTCTCTTCCTTTGGTTTAACTTGATTAATTAGTTCATTCTACATTATGTCCATTTCCAAAGAGGTCAAGTATACTGGTTAGTTTTGTTGGGAAAAATGGGTGATTTTTGTGTAGATATTTATCATAATAACAAACATTAATATTTATAATTCAACTATTATCATAACCATAATAATTCAATAATAACATGAACATAAAATAAGTAGAGAAGAGTTAGAAAAAAAGGAAGTCTTGGGAGCCACGTAGAAGAGGTTGTCCTAAAGTCATGTTACCTACTTTTTGTGCGAGTACTTTCGGTACTACACGGCTCCATGATAAAATCCATATGACTCACATTTAGTTTTCTTTCTGTGGGCACTACCACAAAGAGATAAAGATTGGGCCTCTCATCGAGTTGCCAAAAACTATAGAAATATAATATAAAATATAAATGTAGTATTTTGTTTTTCCTTGTATCTCTAGTTTTTTTTCTTCAATGAAAAAACTCCCTTGTATATGGATAAATTTAACCCCCACAATTAAACCATTAAAATATAAGCTACGTATGAACTATGATGTTTTAATTTTATGTTAGAACTTAAAATTAAAGTGTTTTAATTTTTGAAATTAAAGGTCGAAACTTATTTCAAGTTACAACAAGTTTACCTAAGAATTAATGCTAGATTATGAAAAGTGAAGAAAAATCTACCCAAATTTATGTGTATTTTGACGTCTACTGTGGGATAAGAGTGTTGTATTAATAGTATGCACAGCCGTTGTGCTTGAGAACCAAAGGCTGAAAACACAAAGCAAAAAGGCTCAAATATATTAATATTTTAGAATACACTTCCATTTAATTCAAAAATATTAGCAGATTGGATTCGATAATGTACAAAATTTAATAGCAAATGAAGTAATTTATGAATTAGTTATGTTTTCATTTTCTGTACGTCAATTGTAAGTTGGCTTGATGTATTGGCTTACCCCGTTTGGTACCCATTTTTATAAAAATGAGAATGAAAAATATAGTCGTTACAAGACCCACAGAAAAGATAGAAAGTTAAATATGGTGACTTGATGTGATAGATAACGATTATATTTTTCATTTTTTTAGCCAAAGAATGAGAATCAAATGGGGGAATATAGCAAATCAAATTATTAATTAACATCTACATTTACACTTAATTTTAAATAATTGTTTTTTGGAAAATAAAAGACTATGAAATATTTGATTGATCTGAAAAATTATTTTTCCCATAATAGGATATTTAAATAATAATTACTAGAAGTAGGTGACGAAGTAGAGGGAATCTAAGCGTGGGAACCTAAGTTCCTATACAATTACTAGATCTAGAAAATTGTTGTTTACACAGAGTTGGTCACTAACCCTTTACCCAACAAACGACTAAAGCTTCCTTTTATAATTTCTAGGATTAGGTATATATCATTCATTTCATGCTCTCGTTCAAATCAAACCACTTTGTCTACGTGTATGTATGTCCCATTCTTTTCATAAAATGAATTTTTGAATAGTGTATTGATGAGAAATGTGTGATTAAAAAATAAAGAAAAGTTTTGAATTTGTGTGTAATATTATTTTATTGAAAAATATGTGGTTGAAATAATTTTAAAATACTGTTTAAGAATGTATTTTTCTAAAAGAACGTAGCTCAAACAGGGGTATAATTCTTACAATTTTTTTCTGAAACATCAATATTCTGTAATTTATTATAGGAAAAGCCAAACAATGCATGTGCTGAACTTGCTGGAAAATGTTGGTAAATATCAGATGAATCATGGGGACCCTTTAATTAGTTTGTCATCTTTAGTCATGTCTACTTAGTTTGTAGGGCATATGAACATTTAAAAAAAAAAATGTTTGATTTTTAATTTCTTGTGCATCTAAGTGTTCAAATTATTCATAATTGTTATGTGTTATTAACTCGTTTAGTATGTTCAAGAATTTTAAGTCATTTTTTCTGCTCTTAGATTTTCAAAAATTTCAGGTTGAAAATCCAATCAACGTTTCACATACTGAGGATGAACATTTCAGAAGTTGGAACTACGTGAGTTACAACTTCACCCTAGCCAGCTATTGGACACCCTTTTTGGTGAAATCCAAAGAGGCAGACCCTGATGGTCCAACTCATACGGGCCTATTCAATCTCTACCTTGACGAGGTTGACAAGTCGTGGACTAACCATATAGATGAATTCAACTATATTGTCCTCAACGCGGGTACCTGGTTTTACCGACCATCCATGTACTATGAAAATAGGCGCCTCGTGGGCTGTCGCTTCTGCCAAATTCCAAATGTCACGGACTTTCCAACCACTTATGGTGCCCGAAGGGCGTTCAAAACAGCTTTTAAAGCTATAAACAGTTTAGAAAACTTCAAAGGTGTAACATTTTTAAGGACTTATACACCATCCCACTTTGAGAATGGGTTGTGGAACCAAGGTGGGAATTGTGTAAGACAGAGGCCTTTTAGAAGCAATGAGATTATTTTGGAAGGTGCAAATTTGGATCTTTATATGACTCAAATTGAGGAATTTAGGATTGCAGAAAGAGAAGGGAAGAAGAAGGGGTCCAGTTTCAGATTAATTGATGTAACACAGGCTATGTTGTTGAGGCCAGATGGGCACCCCAGTAGATATGGGCATTGGCCACATGAAAATGTAGTCATGTATAATGATTGTGTGCATTGGTGTTTGCCGGGACCTGTTGATTCATGGAATGATTTCTTGCTTCATTTGTTGAAGATTGAGCGCAGAAGATCCCACAAGGAAAGAAATTCTCTACCCTGACCAAAGACGATTTTTCTCTTTTTATCCAATTCTGTTAAGTGTATTCTTTTAAGAAATATTGGTTATATTTGCAACGTATTTAATGGAGCAAATTTTTTTAAAAATTGACCGAGTGTTATCATCTCTCAATTTGCAATCAACCATTCTCTCTGAACAATTTTCCTATGGTCTCTCCTTGTTTTCTTTAGTAACTTTAAGGTCATGGGTTCTAAGAACTCGAATAGGCCCAATCCTATGACAAATAGCAATTATAAGCTCATCACAAATGGTTCCATCCATATAGTTGAGGAAGTTACTGAAAAGTAATCAAAATCCTAAATATGACGATCATACACGAGCGAAAACCGAAAACACTTTCAGATCATCTTTCTATTGTCTCAATGTTTTGAAGTTTTAGCTTTTTACTATGGCTTAGGCTTCAATCTTCCCGTGTCATCAAAGCCCAGAAACTATCAACCAGTTCGTGGTTTACTAATCACAATGAGATTTTACATACATATCATTGTTAGACAGAATAATGGTTCGTTATTAGTTGTGATCATCTTTAGTTTAGGTGATAGTGAGCCTCTTAATATATTTTTCAAAGAAATTGTGACAATAATAATATAACTCATGTTATAAATTCGTCTTAAACTTTTATTAGTTTCACACATTAAACCTTGACTTTGTGAATTTGGTGTAAGAATAATTACGATGGAGACGAACATAAAATAAAAAAAATAAAATAATATAGTCAACTCTGAATTTTAAAGTCACTTTCAATGAAATGATCTCGCATTCTCGTTATTAAAATGTGATTAAAGAATCCCTAGTTCAAAAGACCTTGCACATGGGATCAGAATAGTCGGTGCATTTAATGATTGAACCAACCGCGTTTTTTTAGCCCAACCGCGGACCCATTTGCAATTGAACCAACCGTGTTTTTTCTTTTGCGTTACAGCCTGCTTTCCAAATCCCCAATCACGTTACCTAGGTAAGTCTTCTTTCTCATTCCAAAATCCGACTCCTTTGTTACCGTCTGCTGCTATTTAATCTCTAAGAAAATCCATATCTCCAATTTGAAGTCTTAAGAGATGGAAGAGGAAGAGGTTAGTATGAAGCCAGTAGAAATAGATTTTGATTGATTGGTTGAAAATATTCCTGTGGTGGATTTCAAAATTTTTAGAAAAATATATAGTTGTTTTTGTGCAATTTAAGATTCTTACAAAGCATAATTGCATAAAAATATTCCTGTGGTGAATCTTGTTTTTAGAACAAGATATAGTTGGTTTTCAGACTTGCAGTGGAGTGCATCTTCGGATTCTTCGCTTTTAGGATTTGGAATTAAATTTACATAATAATTTGCTATTCTTTATATTCCCTTGAGTTGGGTGTTTACATGAATTGGACAGATTTTTATCATCTTATTACTTTACATTCATTGTCCATTCCATGTATTTCTTGAACCACGAAATCTGTTGAAGACAGATTCAAGATTAGTCTTTCAGTTTATATCAATTTTGATTGGTGAAAGGCTCTAAATCTATTCAGTTTGAGGTGTTAATTATTTGATTGGTGGTTTTGTAGAACATTTTCTGCTAAAATATTGCTGATCTTTGTTGTCAAGATGCTTAGAGCCGGTTCCTTGTTAGAGACACTGACACAGTTATTACCAGGACTTGTTTAATGGAGTAATAACATATTTCTTTGTTGGAGACACTGACACATAACAGAAGCATCCATGCATACCCCTCAATCATGAGTATACAAAATCTTGAAGGAAACAAACAAATGATTAATTGTGAAATACTAATAACCATCTGAAAAAAAAATAATAATAAAATAAAAAAAATATGTGTGTGTGTGTGTGTGCACTCAGGGTGGTTGGTTTTAGGATAATTTTGCTTTTGGTGGATTTCACTAGTTTCATTAACTCTTTTGTTTGGTAAACTCAAATTGAAAATATCGTAATTCATAGTCTCCAATGTTGAATAATTGTCATAACTTGTATATATGAGGTCAACACTTGACAACAAATTTCCCATATGAATTGGTTCTTATAACTATTGCAATATCATTTAATGGTGAATACTAAATCTTTGTAATTGAACTTGTTTTCTTTGTATAGTTAACTGGTGTTAATAGTATAACGCATAGTTCTTCTCCAACAAAGAATCGTGCAAGGGGAAGAACTGATATGGCATGGGGCCATTGTAGAGAGGTTTTAGAAGCTGGTAATAATGGAAATAAAAAAAAAATAAAAAATAAAAAAAAACTTGTTTGCTTGTATTGTGGAAAGACTTTTGGTGGAGGTGGTATTAATCGAGCCAAATAACACTTAGCGGGATTAAAAGGTGATTTAGATTCTTCTTGTAGAATACTTCCTGATGTTAGATTTAAAATGAAAGGAAACTTGGACATCTTTGCCGCAAAGAAGCGTAGAACACAACAAGTTCTTGATAAGTGTAACCCACATAGCTCTTATTATCGAGAACAAGAAGAGCAAATGTATAGAGATTTGGGTGATGATGTTCAAGAGATCATCCCTCCTAATTCTAAAGGAAATGATATAGCTATTGAGAAAAGTCAAAGAAAAGGAATGGGAGCTAAACATTTAAAAGAACAAAAAGGAATTAGTTCTTACTTCATGCCAAGAATAAGACCTGATAATCAATCTACTATCAAAAGTGTCGTTCAGAGCAAAGAAGCTATAGAGAAATGTGATCTCACCATATCGAAATGGATGATTGATTCGTGTATTCCTTTCAATGCTGTAAATTCTGTGTATTATCAACGAAGTATAGATGCTATAGCTAGCATGGGCCCTGGCTATAAAGGTCCGAACTTTCACAGTTTTCGTACTTATTTGTTGGCTAAAAATGTCGAGGAGGTACAGAATTATGCTGAAAGCTATCATTCAACATGGAAGACGACTGATTGTACAATTATAGCAGTTGGTTGGACAGATCAATGTAAAAGAACTCTTATTAATTTTTCAGTTTATTGTTCAAAAGGAACGGTATTCTTAAAATCTGTAGATGCTTCATATTTGACTATATATGATTCAGAATTTGTGAAATTGGGATACAAATTGATATTTAGTTAACAAAATAATATGAGGTTAATTTAGTTATTCGTGGAAAATGGAAAAAAATTATTATTCAATGAAAATAGATAATAATATTTTTTATAGGATTTGACCCGCTGGTTGAACCACTTACCCGTTGACCCACTACATTATCCAGGTCGGGTCTGACAATTGGAATCCATAAAAATACTTATGATTATTAATTAATTAATCACGCTTTAAGGTTCCTTTAACGGGTCAGGTTAGATGTCTTTGCGATCAAAATTTATATTTGTAAGATAAGGTGTTCAATTTAATCAGAATCTCTATGCAATATCAATTTGTGATTTATAGTTTCAATTATGATCGTATGATTTGTTTAATCACATTCTTATTGCATTAACAGTGGGGAACAGATAGAATCAAATATTAACTATCAATTGCTGAATCGTATGGTAGAATAAGATCTATTTATTTATCATTTAAACGCGTCTTCATTTGTATTTTTAATTAATTAGTGCAGTGAGTATTCAATAAATTATAGACATTATTATAACTATATGGTGTTCGTGCAGGAACGTGACTAAGAAAAATGTTTCGTTTCAATTATTTTCAGCTGAAACCATGGACTCGTATGTATGGCCAAATCATTTGAAACTTTAGATGTGCAGCAGCCTAAGAAAAGTTTTGTTTATTGAGCTTCGTGAAGCTCCAAGCTATGGCGTTTCTTTTTGGAAATGATAAACATAGTACCATACATTTTTGCACAAAAAATATCTTTATATTAATAACGACTTTAGCATTAATCGTTCTCACAGTTGTCCGTTTAGATTACCCTTTTCTTTCTTACAAGAATCCTGCAGAAATTTCCCCTACATACCATGTAAAAGATGATTCAACAAATTTTGAGCATCGAAATGAGAAGTGCGATATTTCTATGGGAGAATGGATTCCGAATCCCGAGGCTCCATACTACACGAATACGACGTGTAGGGCAATACATGAGCACCAGAACTGCATGAAATATGGAAGGCCGGACGAAGAGTTCATGAAATGGAAATGGAAACCCGATGGCTGTGATTTGCCTGTTTTCGACCCGTACGTGTTTCTTGATATTGTTAGGGGCAAGTCCATGGCCTTTGTTGGAGATTCTTTGGCTAGGAACCATATGCAATCCTTGATCTGCCTCTTATCCAGGGTAAATTCATAATTTTATATGTATTTTCATTTTTACAGTTAAATAAGTATGTGCCCTGGAGGCTATCACATGTTGAAGATCATTCGATGACAAATAGCAGGTACGAATAGAACTGGATAACAAATGTATTGTTTGATTTCAGGTGGAGAATCCCATCGATGCACATTTTAATGGTTCGGAGTATTTGAGTTACAATTTCACAATTGCCCGGTTTTGGTCACCCTTTCTCGTGAAGTCCAAAGAGGAAAACTCTGATCTTTTCAATCTCTACCTCGATGAATTTGACGAATCCTGGACAAACTATATAGATAAATTTGATTACATTATTCTCAGTGCCGGGCAATGGTTTCGCCGGCCAGCCATGTATTACGAGAATCACCAGCTCGTGGGGTGCAACTATTGCAAAATTCCAAATGTCACTAACTTTTGGATAACTTATGGCTACGAGAGGGCGTTCAGAACAGCTTTTAAAGCAATAAATACTTTAGGAAACTACAAAGGGATAACCTTTTTAAGGACTTTTACACCATCCCACTTTGAAAATGGGGAGTGGAACGAGGGAGGGAATTGTATTAGACAAAGACCATTTAAAAGAAATGAGAGTATTTTGGAAGGTATGAATATGGATTTTTACATGATTCAACTCAAGGAATTTAGGGTTGCGAAAATCGAAGGGAAGAAGAAGGGGTCGAGATTTAGATTGATTGATCCAACACGAGCTATGCTATTAAGGCCAGATGGGCACCCCAGTAAATATTGGCGTTGGATACCTGAGAATGTGAATGTGACTGAACTCAATGATTGTGTACATTGGTGCTTGCCTGGGCCTATTGATTCGTGGGGTGATTTCTTGCTTCATCTGTTGAAGATGGATCCCTTGCTTGACCAAAGGGATGAATATTAAATTATTGATTATAATTTTCCGTGTATGTAATCGTTCTAAACAAAAAATGATTTTATTATATATCTCTAAGAGTATGTAGTAGTGCGACCAATAATTATTTTTCCATGGATATTGATTGCAAAATTGAGGATCGAGTAGCGGATTCGGCAACAGCAAGTAGGTCTGGCCCTGTCGCCCTGAGAGTTGAAACATTGTCGATTTTGATTCAAATTTTATGTGATGAATATAGCAACGTCATCTATATAGTTTCGTTAGTAACGTTTTCCCTAAGAGAAATTAGTTGCAGACAAAACTGTTGACAAAATTACTTAAAATTGTAATTTTCTGAAGAGAACTTTGTACTTTTAAAAAATGAAATTATAAATTTTTTAAGTAACGAACTGATGGTCCAACCAATGACCTGATAACTTAGGGGAGTCTGATAACTATCATGTACGCATTTGTATTTAACTTGTAAAAGTGGTCAATTTGCTAATTTCTTCCATTTGCTATTTTTCTCTCCCCTTAAGAAAGGGGCTTCACAGGCAAATTCCTTGTATAATTACCCTTTCTTATATTTTATTAGTGGATTCTTTAGAATTCCAAGGGTGGTCTCGATTCGATTAGGAAGATTTCAAATCATAACATTAAAAGTGGTTTGAAATTTTTTTAAATCAAAGTTAAACCACATTTTTTTATTTGGTTCAATTTAAAATCATAATTTATAGTTAAAGAAATAATAATATAAATCGAACAAGTTAAATCATAAATATCAGTTTAAAATCTCATGTCAAAATATAGATATTAGTATGATTACAAATATTACAAATCGAAGTTTTGCACTTCGAATCATTACAATGCAACAACATGATAGAAACATTTTAGTTCTAACCTTTTAGTCGATATTAATTGGTGGAACATCAACAATCAATTCATTAAATGCAAAATGTATTCTTCTAGAGAATGCATAATCCAAACACCAGTTGATATTTAAATAACTAACACATCTTTGGTAATTTGGAAAACAGTCTTGTACTTATCTACATTCAATCTGATTTTGTGATTTCGTTGTTCGACCCTAGTTACAAGTGGCACCTCAAAATCGAGCTTTCTATTCAAAAAAAAAAAAATACAAGGGATTATTAGTTGTTTTGATAGATTGGAGTATATTTTTTCGATTAAACTACAAAAATAATTTTCAGTATTTTATTTAAAAAAAAATTGAAAAACCAAAAACGCAAAGTCTAGGCTCCAGCAATCATGTATAGTTATCGTATCTTGGCATCAAAATGAAAATCTGCAATCCTTAATTCGTTCTCAATGATCCTAACGGGCTCGTGATAAATATAAAAATGATTCATTAGTTCAAATGGTTTCAGGGCAAATCCAAACGATTTGAGTTAGGGGGTCAAAAATAAAAATTATAGGTATCTTCTAATAAGAAAAAAAAAAGCTAAACAATTTTATTTTTTATTTTTTTCCAAAATCTAGAGGGTCAATTGAACCTATAAACCCCTCCCTAGGTCCACCCCTGGACTTAAGCATTGTCAATCACAATAAAGGTGTGTTGAAGCATTATTCTAAATCGAACTATGGAAAATGGCAATGAATATTGAAGACAATTATATTATTGATTGATAATCTTTACACCCCTATAAGCCTCTAACTATATTGCAAGCAAGGAACAAAAAAAAGCAAACTTCTAAAAAGGGGAAATATAAATTTACCTAGGTCCTGTTCGGTAGTAATTTTGAGAATTGATTTTTTGACTGTTAGAGAGAAAAATGGATCCCACTTATGAGTGAAGAAGTAAAAAATGATGATTGATTTAGGAAAGTAACAATCAAAATATTAATTTTTTGGGAAAAATCAGAACCACATATAGATTGATATAAATCCACGCATCTCATAAGTTGAGTAAAGTAAAATTGTCAACTATAATTTAAAATGGGATTTTTTTTTCTTTTTTTTTTTTAAATGATTTAGGTAGCTTGCAAGTGCTTATTTTATACATGCACCTATAAATTTGTTTTTAATGAATGTATTTTAATGCTTAAATTACAATATGATGACATGTTGGACCATATTATTCTTTACGTATAAACATCAGAAAACGTATTTATAAATAAGGATAAATAGATGCTAAAAAAATTGTTATCATTTGTGAATTCTTCATAATATATGAATAAAACGTAATTTAACGAAAAGTAAGAATCAAGTGTAATGGGCCAACCAATGTTAACTGGGCTGACCGTGTGCTCTGATCGAATCTGCAGATGAAATGATTTTTCGCAATTGATGCCTTTCAATTTGATGTCAATTATTTGGGGTGCAGTTATTTTTAGACTTCATTCACACTTTAATATTGCAATATTATTTGAAATAAAAATGTTAATTAGTAAAACTTGAATATTTTATTAAGACTTTGTTTGTCTACCATTTTTTCACATTTTACCACATTATTTTTTCAACAGTACTCATTTTCAACCACATATTCTTCATTAAAATAATATTACACGTAAATCAAAAACTTTTCCTTCTTTTTTAACCACATATTTCAATATCAATCACTATTCCATAATACATTACTTTCAAATAATGGAACGCAAACAAGCACTAAAATGGTGCATGAGGTGCACCTTCCACATGATTTTTCGTTTGACAAGTTGGCTATCCAAACAAGAAAATGCAGAATAATTTTTCCCTTGCGTGTTCAACATCATTGCCAACAAAACAAATTTCATTTTCTTGTATTTCTTAGTTAGTTCTCCCTTACTTTTCACGATATTTGTCTATGTCTAATTATCAAACAAAGAAAAGGCCAAAGAAGCACGTGGGTTAAGCATACCCCAATTACAAGGGAATTTTGATGTGATAAACAGTTCCAATACAAACAACTATGAGTTGCCAATTGGCGTTGGAACCAGCTCATGACCACCCAAATTCAAGCAAATAGCCAAGAGAGTATCATGCAAATTCAAGGATATCTTTTTCCAAGTTTACCTGTAATAATATTCCATTCCTGGCATTGCAATTCAAATTAAGTTTATAAATTTGTTTAAATGCAATTACACTTCTGATTGTATTGTATATAACAAGATTCATATAAAAACATTAAGAATAAAATATTGTAAAAAAGGAAAAATACACCATCACATAGTCAAATCTACATGTATACAAATGTGTAATGTCGTATAAGCAACAAAAATACAGAAATAATTTAGAGAATCTTCATAATGGAGGTGTTTTTGCCTTCTTTTGTAAGGTACGAATATATAAAGATAAAAAGATGGCAATTCCAAACTAAACACCAGAGTTCAAAATGAAGAGTAAAGAAGAACTACTTCCCAGTGGGAAGGACATTTTGTTCAAGAGCTTATTCTTCCCAATCCTAGGGTTGGTTCTTATCACTGCTCTCTATTTCTACTTACCACACAATTTATCATCCCTAATGAGTGATCTAGACATGAGGTCCAATGATTCGGTGTCCCTGAACATGAATAGCACTACAGCCACAGCCCTTCATCCTTCCAGTAACGATTCATCATCAGTAACCTCAGAACAGAAATGTAATATATTCCAAGGAGACTGGATTCCATTTCCAGAGGGACCCTATTACACTAATGAAACTAAATGTGTGATAGATGATAGACAGAACTGTATGAAGTTTGGTAGACCAGATTCCGACTTCATGAAATGGAGGTGGAAGCCAAGTGAATGCGAGTTACCTCTCTTCGATGCCAAGAGGTTCTTGGAACTTGTCAGAGGTAAGACATTGGCTTTTGTTGGCGACTCCCTGGCAAGAAATCAAATGCAGTCCTTGGTGTGCCTCTTAGCTAGTGTAAGTCCTTTATCTACAAAAATCAGTATACATGTACCTATACACAAACACAAACACAAGCATACACATATTTTTTAGTGAGTGTAGAATCTCTACATGTATATGTGTAGTTGCTTGAACCTACACACATATCTTGGCTATGACTGCAATTTCAATATTTGTTCTCTGCCTAATTCCTGAGATCCTAGGCAGCCAACCCTGTGGATGTTTCCACCACGACAGACACAAGATTCAGGCGGTGGCTCTATACTGAGTACAACTTCACATTAGCTGCATTCTGGTCTCCTCACCTGGTTAGAACACAAGATTATGGTCCTGAGGGCTATAATGCAAGTCATCTGAAGCTTTATCTTGATGAGGCTGATGAAGCCTGGGCAAAGCAGACTGAAAATGTTGATATTTTTACAATCTCGGCATCCCAATGGTTTTTCCGACCATTTATCGGCTATGAAAAAGGTCAAATTGTTGGATGCCATATGTGCAGCGAGAGAAATATCAGAAACTTTTCAACTTCCTACGGATACAAAATGGCTTTCCGGACAGCTTTCAGGACATTTCTGAGCCTTGAAAACTATAATAACAAACTTGTGTTTCTAAGAACATTCTCTCCAGCGCACTTTGAGAATGGGGACTGGGACAAAGGAGGAAGTTGTGAGAGAACAAAACCATTTAAAAAGCAGGAAATGAAGTTAGAGAAGTATGTCTTGGATCTTTACATGACTCAGGTGGAAGAGTTTAAGGAAGTCCAAAAAGAAGGGGAAAAGAAGGGCTTGAGGTTCAGATTGTTAGATACTACTCGAGCCATGGTTCTGAGGCCAGATGGGCATCCCAACCACTATGGGCACTGGCCACAAGAGAATAAGACACTGGCTGACTGTGTCCACTGGTGTTTGCCAGGCCCTGTTGACACTTGGAATGAATTTTTACTACATATCTTACATACTGAAGAGCCAAATTTGGCTGGCAAAAAGCTAAAGAAAAATGAGTGAGAAAATTATAAGGGCATTTATGACGCACACAGAGAAAAGAGCCTGATATTCATCTCTACAGTGACTATCTCAAGAATGAAAACCATACATCGCAGTTACTTCAAAAGCCTCAATTGCTGCTACATCAAGCAATAAGTTGCATTATGCTCTTGTGATTTTACAACATTCTTGAAGTTAATGTTTATGATACCACAAGAGGAGACAAAAGAGACCTAAAGATAGCTATTTTCCCTACCACCAAAAAGTATGTAATTACAGCTATTACAATTGTCAGAAGTAACTTCATTCAGCTTAGAGCCTATAATTCCATATCAAACACAGACCAATCAATCCCTCGAGTCATATTAGATCAACATGCATTAGCAAAGGAACATGACATATCATATGAATTATGAACAAAATAATTTAAGATTAATTTCCACACTTGAATCTATGTAGGATTATCCAGCTGCCATAAAATCTTCCTTTTCGCATTTGAATTCGATTCAAGTGGTACTACTTGAGAAAAGAGCGCCTAGAGTTGTTGATCCCGATCAGATAAAAGTCATGAACTTATCAACAACCCCACCCCCTGAACCACAAGAGAGAGAGAGAGAGGGGGGATGTAGGTTATGAGAGTGCTCAAAGAAGAATTGATGGACATTAACAAAAGGATAAAAAGGCCACAAAGGTGGGACAAAAGAACCTTCAAGCCATCATATTTCAAACTTGCTCCGTCTTATTGTTCTGCAGTTCTGCTTGGCCATTTTTTCCTTTATCCCACTCTTATGTTTTGAAACGAAACCAGGCTTCTAATGCCAATTGCCAAGTAACTTAACATAGTAGCAGAATCATAAAATTGCAGGGGTGCGAAAAACGAGGGAAAAATAATTATATAGCTAGAGTGCACATCAAAAGAAAAGTTTCATCCCCTTTGTTAAATTGAGCCAATAGTTTGACTAAGCACGCCATGAGTTTTTGTACAATCAGGAGTAGAATATATACATAAGAATGTATTGACATCAAAACCAGAAATGAGACCAACAATAAAGAGAAATTTGGTATGAGGGAGGGCATTTAGAATGAAATTTTAATGAATACCAATACATGCAGAGCTAAAATGTAAAGCACAAAAGCCGACCTGAGTAGCATCAACCTCTGCAAACTGTCATTTCGACCAGCTATATGGAAAGGAAGCTTGTGGTCAGGATCAACAGTGTAATTAGAAGAAACAGGTCCACTGTCAGAGCTGCTTCTTCCAAACCTATTCCTTGCTGTATTCAGATCTGTGTTACTCGTCTGGATTCTTTTCCACAGTCCATTTAATCTTTCAAACTCAATCTCCCTCAGATGAATTTCACTGATAAGGCCTTCTGCTTGAGCCTGAAATGCAAAGAAGAAAAAGAGAAACTAGTATAGTAATTTAATTTTCTACCAGATGTCACTTTAAAGAACACAAATGGATAACATCATTACAGGAGTTGCCAAAAGAAAAGCTTATTACATCATTTATATTTAGATAAAAAAAAAATTCTAACCTGCTTTGCTGCAAGTTGTTCAATTAGGCTGTGAAGCTGTTTATCCAAAGCCTTCTCTCGCTGAGCTGCATGGAATTGCATCAAATTTAAAGCACGCCGAATATATCAAAAATGATACGTGCTAAGATTCCAACTTAAAATGGAAGTAAATGGGGCATGTCCAAAGCAGATATATGCTCGTCAATTTAGCATGCTACATGCTAGGAGTTGAATACTTGCAATCCACATTCCATGCTACATAAAAGATGAAAAATTATACCAGGAGTTGGTTGCTTCAATGCATTAGCTTGAACCTCCGCCCACTTTTTCTCCATGTCTTGAACAATTTCTTCCATCAAAGCCTAAGAAGAAACAAAAGATCCATCAGTTTAAATTCACTTCATACATATATGGTGAATCAGACAATGAATCACTCAACGGACCAGTTCTTTTTTCTTCATCTCTAACTTCTCCAACAATGATAGTCTAGGAGCTTCTGCGTCGTCTAGAGATTCAATGACTGATTTGGATTCAATAAACAGTTCATTTGATTCACCAGGCTGACTTGCAGTCACTACAGCTTTTGCTTGTTCCAGCTCTGCTATTAAGTTCTCTTCAATCAAGTCCATTTCCTGGAAGACAAAAACTATTAACATATAAATTTGATAATGAAGAAATTTTAGGATAAAGTAACTAATTTAAAGATAAATCATAAGGCCAAAACAACTACAAGTTGACTTCAATTAGAAAGTTTTCAAACACAAAGACGTGAAAATGTAGATTTGCATAATATCTGGATCCACACATTGTCTTGACTCACCAGCATGGACATGCTCTATAACAAGACAATCTGGAGTTAACTTAGGTTGTTTTTTTCATTTTTATTTGCTATAAACTAGTGTAAATGCATGGGCGTATGAAGCAGGGAAATCATTTAAGCGCATATGAAGGAGCTCGTGAATTTCAAGAAATAGGCAAAAAAAACTCATTGATTCACACAGAATACCGAGAATTTAAACTCGTTCATTCACGTAGAACAATGAGAAGCCAGAAATAAAAAAACTTAATTTTTTATTCAATAATTCACCCTTCTAAAAGACCATAGTGGTACCATTTATACAATTCAAAATGTAGCCTAATCTGATCCTAAAATGAAAAAGTAGAATCCTAAATAAAGAAAATTATCAAAAGCAACTTGTTTATTATCATAGAATCCTAGAGGGAAGAAAAAAAATCCTATAAAAAATGAAAATTACCAGAAACAACTAATGTAGTGGTTTACTTCCTCTTAGCTGCGTCAATAGCAAGAAAACTAACTTATCAGATAGATAATACAAGAAATAGGACCACATATTAATACACAAATAATGCACCGTTTGCAAAAAAATGTGAAATGATTTTTTTCTACACTCAGATGAAGAAATAAAGAGGAATCATAAAGTAAGGCCATGGGTAAATTAATATAACAACTTCCATTCTTTTAAAAAATGCTGACTGTCAGGTAATGTTAATGTTAACTCGAAAAGGATATAAGTATCTCATGTAGGGCCTTTCTAGCAGCGAGTCATTTCTGGTAGTAGTTAGAATTAGAAAGCAAAACAAATATAATCATGTTGACAGCAAATGATAACTAATATTACAACAGAAAAAGTGTGTTGAAAAACCTCCCATAGCATATTATAATAAAATCACTGAGAACTCTTGAAGATGTGAACCTAAGCAATTTTTCACACACCACAAGATAATTCTGTTTTTGGCATTTTCATGAGGCAAGTGGCATAGGCAAGCCACAGATGTAACAGTATTGTGGTCAAACAAGGAAGTGAAGTTCTAAATGTGAATAGAAATCACCTGATGATTGAAATATTCAAACTTTACTAGGATTGACGAGTAGAAAATATTGCAGTCATTTCTAGTTTTATTTACCTTATTTTTGCAGTAACCATGAAAGAGTCAAATCTTCTTTCACTCTCTTTTGCCACCTAAAGTCATTGAAGCACAAAAGTTTTGACCTCTCAAAGGGAAACCCTAGAACATGAGAAGCAAATTGTGATCTCGTGTCATAGTTCATACCTATCAAATTGAACACTATCTGAACACAAAATCTGCCTTAATCACTTCTTTTAGACCTTGATACGATATTTACTACTGCATATGTAAACAGCTTCATTTCAACTTTTCCCACAGTTGTCCTATATCGGACCAGGTGATGATTGAATAAATCTTGAGTTGCAAAACATTTTTGATGGTAATGAGATGAAAATTATTTGGTCAAATTGTAATAGTGGAATCCTATTGCTTAGAAACCAATGCTTAAAAAGTGAAATCGAGAATAAGGCATTTTACCTTAAGTGAGATGAGGCATAAACCTCAAGGTCTATACCAAATAAAAGTCATAAAACTATTGAAATGCAAAATAAGAGCATACCAAACCATAAACAATCTTCAAATCCACAACATAACAATTTAAGTATGCAAACAATGAAAAGAAAAATATATAAAGTAACAAAAAAAGAAACCTTTAGTTAGTGACTAGTGGAGTATTCTCGAAGCGAGTCTATAAGAAACATAACCTTTTGATGTTATAATAGTGATAGTGGGCTACTCCCAAAGTTGGTCAATAAGAATTTTAAATTTTTTTGCGAGCCCGTCCATAAAGCGAAGTAAAGAGCGTAAAATATTAAGTAGCGCACACCTCCAAAAACTGCCTCAGAATTAGCGCCTCGACGCATTCTTTGTTCACCTCCCTTTGAGGTGGGCGTCAAGGTGAGCCTCAATTGGGTTATTTTAAACCATGTACAAAAATATTGGTGAATTTATTGAATGTCGTCCTCGTGTGTGGAGGAACTAATAGGAATATGTAGAGTTCAAAGATTAAAAGTCAACAACAATAGCTCTCTAAGCCTCTGTCCTCAATTTAGTTGTTGACGCTGATGTAACCAGATCATCATTATCCCTATAGAGTTGAAGTCCAGTCTAGCTCATGTCCCAATATCGTTCATCAAAGGCAGGATGAAGGGAACCAAGAATCAGACTAAAAGCAACTATATTAGAATTAAATCAAGTTTATGGGTTAGGAAGAAATTTTAATTAACATTATTAATCTATTATATCTAAGTTACAGTTGTATGGGCAAAAATGAAGCATAATATAAAATGACAAGAAATATACATCCACATTATATAGGAGTTTATCTTCTTTTCGTCATGGAATTACTTCAAATTTTGCTTTTGAAAGAGCTCATGAGAACTTGTACAGATAACAAAGTAAAGATTGATTATGCAGAAAAGAAGTATTTTACACTACACACTGTTACAGATATTGGTGAATCAGCAGAGCAACTAAAAGGAAAAACAATATTTCTGAAAACTCGCAAAATCTGTAAAGCTTTGGAAACACCTCTAACCTTCAATTTACTTTGAAGTGCATCTGCTTCCTGCAACTTCTCCTGTATTTTATTTTCACAACTGGATATAGCATTTTCATACTCAGTGTTTTCTTCCTGCAACCTAACTTCTCTTTGCTGTACCTGAGAGAATAATTATAACTAACAATCAGTTTTGCACATCCACGAACCAAAAAGTAACTTAAGGAGGGTATTCCGAAGAAAAATCCCATTGTACAATAATGAATCATTTCATTAAGTAGTGAGGGAGAAAAAATGGAAAAAGAAACCAAACCACAAAAAGAAGTTCGTGAATCACAGTTTTGAATATGCTGAAAATTACTGCATTGCAATACTTGGCATTATGCTACGAGCTTCGATACCTTCTCGAATTATTTAAATTCGTTTGATTT